AAAAAGGTACCTGTCAGACTGTTGCATTATTCGCCTATTTCCCTCCTTTCAACCACCACCCCCACCCCCCCCCGTAAAACTCAATCTGCTTTAAAGAATGTACAAGCTTCATTGCTCACAATACATGCATATATATATAGGTAGATAGATAGATAGATAGATAGGTAGATAGATATATACACGCAAACATACCTTGACTGAAGCGTACTCATCTATATAGAATCTTCAATTTGTTTTGATTAGATTAGATTAAATTAAATTCCCTGTAAAAAAAAACAGAAAAGCAAAGAGAGAGAGAATGTGTGTGAGAAATGGAGCATAAGTGTGTAAATGAGAAAGTGAAGCAGCGAACAGAGTTTCAAGCCTAGTGATTTTTTGAATACGTCTCACAGTGATTCGTTTTATTTTGAAATTAAGAATCATTCGATAAAATATCTATGATTTACGAGTTGATCACGGACTGATATCAGTTAGAGAACCATTGAAAACCAGCACAGGAGTACTGGACAGCTGCTGTTTCATCCTAGTTTGGGAATCATCGGCAGTACGCACCCACTGGGATTCGAACCCGGGACCTTCCGGTTACAAGGCAAGCTCGTATACCATTCAGCCACTCGTAAAACATAACTAATCCTTACAAACCAAAACTATAGAAAATATCTATGAGCTATATATATATATATATACATATATATATAAGGATAAAACTTGGGCACTACTGTTTTCCGGTAGAGTGGAATTCAATTATGGACAAAAATTCTGTTTTGCAATTAGTTGTGTTCTCTGAGGAGCTGGTTGATTTAATTGTGGGGCTTTCGTCGCCCTCTCTCTCTCTCTCTCTGGACATCATCTCTAGTGATCCTATTTTTTAACTTTCGGGTCACATGTGATGATGATTAACATTTTTATTAGTTGGTAGATTTGGTCTATATTACCATGTTTGTTAATCGCTGGCTGATTCGCTTGAATACCACCAGGCTTCTAAGAATTCCCTGACTGTATTTTTCGTATTTCTCCTCTGTTTAAAATTTTGACATTATCCCTGCTGGACTGATGTCCGTAATTATCAACATGCATTGATATGAAACAGGAATATGTATGACATGTCTTTTCACAGCTAATTTTGTGATCCTGGATTCGGATTCTAAGGGGATGCCCACTTCACTGACCGATGTAATTTCTGTTACAGTTCATACATGCAATTTATTTTGTAAATGGTATTAATTTTCTGTAGCTGGGTTTGTAAGGGTTAGTTTTGTCTTTACGAGTTGATCACGGACTGATATCAGTTAGAGAACCATTGAAAACCAGCCACAGGGAGTACTAGACACCTATTTCATCCTAGATTTTTGGAATCATCTGCAGTACGCACCCACTGGGATTCGAACCCAGGACCTTCCGGTTACAAGGCAAGCTGGCTCATATACCATTCAGCCACTGGGACCCGATTCAATGGCCAGTCCACGAATTCTAACCTCTACCAATTCGTGATTTGGAGCGACTCCCCAACATAACTAACCCTTACAAACCAAACTATAGAAAATTAATATGATGCTCGCTAGTGACTTGCTACAGGATGGAGTTTCCTGGAGTTCTAGTGAGAAGTTGTGACCAGTGAGGTTCAATTAGATGTCACGTGTGTGGATTGATGTCCCACCAACGACAATGATTGGGGTCGCGCTAAATCACGAATTGGTAGAAGTTAGAATTCGTGGACTAGCCATTGAATCGGATCCCAGTGGCTGAATGGTATACGAGCTTGCCTTGTAACCTGGGGGGTCCTGGGTTCGAACCCTGGTATGTGGGTGTGTACTGCCGATGATTCGCAAACTAGGTACTTATTTTATCTTTCTTTTCTATTTGATGTGTCTTTCGGTTTGCACGATATCCAATGAAGTGATTGTGCTGGCTGGCTGGCTACTTTGTGTGTGTGTCTTTTGATTGGTCGTTTCTTACAGAAAGTTAACCTTGCACCTCTTTGTGGCTGTGTCAGATCATCCATATGCTAACTGTATCCGCCTACGCAAAGCCTTTGTTCTCATTTTCTCACCACCAATATTGGGGACATAAACATTGACGTCAATTACTGTCTACCGACTTTGGCTAGCAGCCAGCTCTCACCACAGTGCTACCGTTAACCAATCCTTGAGTTATTGAATTGCGCCTCCGAGGGGTTGAACGATCAACAAGCTCGGTCTTGCAACCTTAAGGTCCTGGCTTCGACCTCTGGTGAAGTTGTGTGTGTGTGTACGTGCGTGCAAGCGCACACATTTTTGAAGAGCCCATCCCAATACAAAACAGACTTCTCTGGTTTTGATAGATAAAATCCACAAACTGAAATCAATCCTAATCCTTTCCAGAAAAAATCCCTAAACTTAAAAATCATAAGAGGAAGAAGGCGAAAATTCATAATTACATTTATCATCAACTTAAATTTTCATTAGGTTAATGAGTAAATAAATAAATTAATTAAATAAATCGATAAATAGATAATTAAATTAATATATACATATATATGCTTTCTAATTACTAAAGATAATTAATCATCAATAATTCCATCATCAAATATGTATAAATTTATATTTATTACTGTAATTAGTATCAATTCGTTTAAAAAATTGATCAATAAAGCAATCGATTAATCAGTGTATCTATCTACCTGTCTATCTAGCTAGTTGATAAGGAATCGATAATCGATCGATTGTTAAATAGATAGATAAATTAATTAATTAATCAGTCAGTCATTATGTGTTTCACAAAGGTGGTGTGGGTATATGTAGTCATGTATGCTTGTATAACTTCGTGTTTTTTTCTTATTTCATTACTGAGAATTATTGATTATACTTTACTATAGTGATGTAATAATGTTTGAAATGATGCTTTGTTGTCGTTAATTTTCATTAAGCTGTGAAATGACTCATGGTGTGTGTCTTTGTGTGTGTGTGCGTGTGTGTGTTTTATACCCACACACTACTATGACGTAAGAGTTGAAAGTAGTTAGATTGAAGCATAGCGCCTGTTACTTTGAACCCCTTTTTAGTTGGCTCCTCAATCGCTCATGAATGTTGCTATCTCCTCCATGTCACCCTTTGCGCCATATCCAACACGTCGTTTGCCATTCAGATCCCGACTGGCGACTGGCCATATTTAGGTAGGTAGTTACCTGGGGTTCCAGTGCGAAGTCGTAATCAGTAGGGTGCAGCAGGTCGGGTGTGAGGACAAATACTCGCCACGGAAGACATTGGTTAGCGGTTGCGCTATATCGTGAATTGGCAGAAGTTAGAATTCATTGGCTGGGCATTGGATCGGGTCCCAGTGGCTTAATGGTATGCGAACTCGCCTTGTAACCAGAAGCTCCTGGGTTCGAACGCCGGCGGGTGCGTACTGATGAAGAGTTCCAAACTAGGACAAAACGGTTGGCTGTCCAGTACTCCTTGTAGGTTTTCCAATGGTTCTCTAACCAATGTCAGCTCATGATGAAATCCTGTAACTAATTTCATAGTGTTGAAGGTCTGCCTTGCCTTTCTGGTTCTGGTTTTGACATCAGCATATTGTTGTGTAATTCCTGGGGAGCTTATGACACACTATTTTGGAGATATATATTGATCTCTCCTACACACATTGCCTATGTCCCAATAATATGCATCATAAAATCAACAATTCTTTAGTTAAGTTTCTATTCACTTAGGGCAGACTGAATTCTATCAGTCAAGTTTACAATGTGGCGACAGTATGCTAGATAGCCCGCCAATACAGTGTACTGTGAATTGTCGTCAGATGATTGAAGGCGATCTGCAGAAAGTCCTGATTGATCTAGGGTCTCATCATGTCCCTCCTTAGATTCGAACTCGTATCACCCAGTGTGCTGAAGTCACAGTTAGTGTTACCACTGATCTATTCGAGTTCGCAATCGACCTCTTCCTGTGGCAATGTAATGAACAACTTATATAAGGATAAAACTTGGGCACTGTGGCGGTAGAGTATAACTCCATTATGGCGAAAATTTTATTTTGATAAAGTCTCACACAGTGTTCTACAGTAATATTTACTGATAGGGAAGAGAGACAGGACTACAGGTGAACAACATAGCGAAAACGAAGGTGATGAGGATAACCAACGAACCGCAACAACAACCAGCATCGAATACTATCAACGGGAGAGGAGATTTAACAAAGGTTACTTTCTTCTCTTATCTGGCCAGGAAGCATCGTTTCAACTACAGGCGGACACCAAGGATGAAGATGTCGAAGTCAGTCAGAATTGTAAAGGCGAGATACGCCTTCAACAACCCCGAAACCAGTTTGGAAATTTTCTACACCCAGCATAAGCAACAAGATTGGGATTTACAACACCAATGTCAAGTCCGTCAGTGCTTCTATACGGCTAACAAACCTGACACGCGCATGACGAAAGGGATTTCCAATAGGTTACAGACTTGCATCGACAGCTGCCTTTGCCGGCTCTATACTGAAGATCAAATGGCCAGCCGGTGGGTCAGAAAGAATTAACAACAAGAAACTCTGAAGCGGGACAAACTAACAGGCAAGAGCTGACTGCTCAACAAGTGGATTTGTAGGAGAAAATGGAGATAGACTGATCGGGCAGACGCCACTGAGGAGGCCGTCAAATGACATCGCGTACAGTGCAGGCCATTTCTCGAGTGGAATCGTAATGGGAAGCGACGAGCTGGTCGTCAGTACGAGGGTTACATGGAAGAGATCGCGCAAGTTGGAGGAGATGAGAGACTAAGGGCAATCGTAGAGGTAGCCAGTTGAAGAGGACAGTAGAGAAGAGAACAAAGTGGAGATGTGTTGTTAAAGTCGTATGTTCCACTTGGAATCCAAGGGAGTAATCATAATACACTTCTCATCATTGACTAATACTCATTATAAAATCAATAATTTTTCAATTAAGATTCTATTAATTACTTAATAAAAAAAAATCGATATCAACAGTGATTTATTTATATCACAATGCCTTCACTTGTTTTCATCTATCAGATCTTCGTGAAGCCTTTACTCTATTCGATGTAAATCGTGATGGTCGTATCACTGAAACTGAATTGGAATCAGTTCTTGGTTTCCTGGGAGTGAAAACAACTCGAGAAGAAGTGCGTAGAATGATTCGAGATGCTGACTGTGATGGTAAGTACATTCACTATTATTATTATTATTGTTATTATTACTATTATGTGTGGATATACGAACTAAGTGATGTAATACCTTTATTGGCGATTTTTTTATCCCTTTGCGTTCCCAGTGAACTTTGAAGTTGCAGTGTAACAGTGATCGGCCGGTCGGTCGGTTTCCGACATAGAACTTTGTACATATGTGCTGCAGTTCGAGTCGCCACACTCCATGTAGCACACAACGAAAGAGAAGAAAGTAGGAGGAATGCATAATAGAGACAGTAAACAGAGGTGTGAGACAAAGGAATAGTAATAACGAAGAAAAAAACAGTTTCATTGGAAATCATAAGTAACAAGGAGTGGATGCATCTGCGCCAGCCATCACTGAGAACGATTTTGAGCCATGTCACTAATTGTTTCTAACCATTGGTTTTTACCGTTGCGAGGACCCCAACCAGTCAGGAAGTCTACACCTTCCTACGTGGCCTAGACTAACTGTTGTAGATTCCATTGACTGGTGCCATGTTTTCGTTTGACCACCGCTGGCTCTTTTCCAGCCTGAGCCTATATCAGCTAACATTGCCCATTGTTGAGGAAGGCGATGGCTAGACATGCATGCGTAACACATGACCTAAACATCTCAGTCGATATAATTTCACAGTCGACTGACTTCCCCTCCTCGACTTACCTAGCACTCGACCGATGCCTAACCTCAATATTGCTCACCTTATTATACCAATTCACACGGGAGATAGAACGCAGACACCTATGATCGAAGACAGCTAATCTTTTCATGTCTTCCGCTCTCAATGGCCAAGTCTCACAGCAAGCCATAAAGGAGGGCGGAGCGGACTGTTGAGCAGTACACACACCCTTTGGTCGATAGTCGGATATCACGTCCACTGAGCCAGAGACGGCGTAAACTGGCAAATGCGAACCTAGCCCTCTGTATTCGTGCTGAGATTTCGTCGGACTTACTACCTACCGGCTGTAAGTCAGGTCTCCGAGTGTGTCAGCCGCTTGAGATTGAACCGCGGACGAAATGCAGGCAAGCGTAAGTGTGGTGAGTATTCCGCTACTACAGCGGAAGCATCGTTTCAACTACAGGTGGAACTGGCGAGGATATCAAAGCAAGATAAGCTCTCACTACTCTCAAGTCTGTGTGTAAGTCAACAGCACTATTCAGCATCAAAAATAAGATCCGGATTTTCAACTCCAATGTGAAGTCAGTGCTACTTATTATACGGATCAGAGACTTGGCCAGCGCGTCCTAAAGAGCATCTCAAACAAACTACAGACCTTCATTAACAGTTGACTTCGCTCAATACTCAAGATCAGATGGCCGGCTAGAAAAGATCAGCAACAGAGATCTCTGGCAATGAGCGAGCCAATCCAGCAGGAACCGATTGTGAAACAAATATGCAGGAAGAAATGGAGATGGATTGGCAGGCTATACTCTGAGGAAACAAACCATCAAGTGAGTGACATCACTAGACAAGCCATTGCTCGAGTGGAACCTGGCCGAAAGGGAAGCGGCGAGTTGGTCGTCAGTGCAAGGGTGACTTGGAAGAGGTCATGTGAAGAGGAGACGCACGGCTGAAGACGTATGTTCCTCTAGGAATTAAAGGAAACAATAATAATAATAGAAGCGATATGTTTATTATTATTATCGTCATTTTAAACTTTAATATGCAGGATTTTATCATAAGCTGAAATCGGTTGGAGAACCTTTAGAAAACCAGCTACAGGAAGTACTGGACTGCTGACTGTTTCATTCTTGTTGTATGTGACTCTTCATCAGTACACACCCACCTCAGACATGGTTCGAACCCACGATCTCCCAGTTACAAGGCAGTCGTGACCATTGGGATACAGCAGGTCATCAGGCGTAAGGACAAAATGCTTTCCAGCGACGACATTCGCTAGTGGCAGTCACGCTATATCGTAAATTAGCAGAAGTTGGAATTCATGGGTTAAGTGAACGGTCTAAGAGCTTGCTAGCCTTGTACCCAGATGGTCGTAGGTTCGAACCCTGTCAGTGGTAGGTGCCTACTGATGAAGAGTCCCAAAACGGTGACGACGAAACAACTGGTCCTGTCCTCAAACTGCTGTCAGCTGTCGTGATGAAATCAACAGAATTCAGCTTCACTTCAAACAGTCTTGACTCTTTTGTATTTTTTTAAGTCGAAAAATTTTTCCTTGTTTTTGGGACAAAATATTGAATAAGTACAGTCGGCATTTCATTCTTTGTTTATCATTTCTTATCTCTGTATGTGTGTGTGTGTTTATTTTAGTGTACACATATATTTTTGCGTGTGTATATAGCTCCAACACACAGGTGTTAAACATCTGTATCTCATGTCGTTTAAATATGATTACATCTCAGTTACACCATTACAGTGTCTCTCTCTCTCTCAATTCACTTCATTCTACATATCCATGTCTGCGCGCGCGTGTGTGTGTGTGTGTGTGAGTGAGTGTTAAAGCTGCTGACACCTGGATTAGACATTCAGCATCTGTGCACATTCAGACTCTGTGTGTGTGTGACGTGGGGGGCTGGGGTGTGGGGGCTTGTGAATCGGTAAGCGTTCATGTATATTTATTTGTTAATCATAAAATGTTATGATCCACGCGAACATCTGTATTATGTACGCGAATATAAGTAGTTGATTTATTAAAGCAAAATTATATCAATATATGTGTAAAACTTGGGCACTGTGGTGGTAGTAAGTAATTTCATATTAGTTTGTTTATTAGGTATATCACATACACAGTGAAACAGTATTATTTACTGGATAACACAGTTTCGAACACAATTTATTGTTCATAATCATTTCATCAATTATAATCACACGACTTTGACACTTGAGTTTTATAGTTTTCTTTGTCCTCTAGTATTTGTCGTCGTTGGGATAGTAGAATTTTCCAGTTGTCTGGCTGGACAGGTGTTGAATCATTCCTATTACTCGTGTTCTCTCTCAGTTGACTCTGAGCACCCACTCTACCAGCAGCTCCAACCTTGTGTCTCCTCAGGTAAAACAAGAAGTCTTTACAGAAGACTTTATGCACGTACGTCTAAGTATAAAAATTCCACTATACCATATTTAGCACGTACTCTATGTGATGAAAATAGTGTCAGAAATGAACTAACTGACCTTCTTAGCACCACTAAATAGACCATTTCCTTCAACCTTAAAGCATCATACTTTATTGTTATTGTATTTCTTATATTTATAATCCTCTCAATTTTTTCGTTTTGTTTATTTTATTTTTGATAAGTGTGGACATAATTTTAAGCTGTATTATGACTGTTAACTTTGTATTTCACTTCACTATACCATATCTACAGAAAATTAGACCCAATTATCCATAACACGCTAAAGTTTCCAAACTGAATCGACAATACCGTTTGAAACAAACTCACTGTTATCATTATTTATTATCATTATTATTATATCTAATAATTATGTCGTAAATGTGGGCAAATTCCTCCGATTAATTTTTGTTTTAATTTTTAATTTTATGTACATTTTGAGTAAATCAGATGCAATATTGTGACAAATACTGATAATTCCATTCTGTATTATAAGTACTGTCTGTTTTGGAATAAAGTAAATTATTATTATTATTATAAACAAAGCTTCCGTTGTTATCAATTTCTCCCTCCCTCCACCCCGCTGTTACATTAGATTTTAAAACTGTCGTCTTACACCATCCCATCCTATTGTATGGTTGTGTGTAATTGCATGTAGTAAGTGGTATAGCTGAACTATTCTCTATATTTCTCATCTTATTCGGGTCGACTAATATAGATTTTGCTAGGTTTCTTGCCCGAGACAACGCCAACAATAAGGAATCTAAATCATTATCAGTAGTAATTCCATACAAGGAAGGAACCTCAGAAGCTTTACGCAGAATTCTCAACAAGGCAGGAATTAAAGTGACTGGCATTCAAACCACCCACAAACTCAATTAGAAACTAGCTTTGTCGGTTAAAGGATCAATCCTGTGAAGCCTTTAAAACGAAACAATTTAGTTTATCTAATATCCTGTCTGCAATGATTGTCAGGTCAAATAACACATAGGTCAAACTAGTAGAACAGGGGCAGTCAGACTAGCTAAACATAAAAACTTAGCAAAATCTAGATTGGTTGACCCGAATAAAATAAGAAATCTAGAGAATAGTTCAGCTATAGCACTACATGCAGTCACACACAACCATATAATAGGATGGGATGGGATAGGATGACAGTTTTAAAATCTAATGTCACAGGATATAGGGAGAGATTGATAACAGAAGCTTTGTTTATCGAATCAATTACAAATATATGTAATAGGAATGATTCAACACCTGTCCAGCCAGAAATCTGGAAAATTCTACTACCCAAACGACAAATAGTAGAGGACAAAGAAAACTATAAAACTCAAGTGTCAAAGTCGTTTGATTACAATTGATATGATTATGAACAATAAATTGTATTCGAAACTGTGTTATCCAGTAAATAATACTGTTTCACTGACTGTGTGATATACCTAATAAACAAACTAATATGGAACAAAATTATATCACATTCTCTCCACAGTAGTTGAAAGAGCAAAGGATATTTTACATCACTATCACCATTATCATCAACATCACAGGAAAATATTATTACAGCAGTTTTTATTATTATTGTGTTATTCTGTAGAAAAGCAGATGTTCCAGTTTCTAAGGTACATTGTGTAGCACACATATGTTGGTCATGTTTTATAAACATATACCTAGACGTGTAGGTGGGGTGGGAGTGGGGATGCTAAAGGCCGGAGGAAAGGTGCTATTTGTCTCTTTTGTCTAGTCAATTGGAAAAAAAATGATTATTTATTTTTTTATTTTGATTTACAGCTTGATTCCACACCGTATTTTCAGTACGAGTGTGGAATTTTCAGCATGGATATCGGTAGCCCAAATTCAGGCCGACCATAGATATCGGGTGTGCGCCGGCAGAGGATCGAACCCCGGACCATGTGCATGGTCGGCGAGAGTCCTAACCACTGTGCCACCGACGCACATTATGAAGACTTGACCATGCAGTGATATCTTGTTGTAGTTTGGGACCCTCTTCAGAAGTACATATCCACGACTGCCACATCCCCGGCTAACGGATTGAACTCCTGATCTTCAGACTACTAGGCAAACTTGTTTATACTATTCAGCCAAGATCCGGTTGATGTATTCTAACTTCTGGTCCGTCGGTGGTATAGCGGTTAGGACGCTCGCCGATCATGCACATGGTCCGGGGTTCGATCCCCGGCCACCAACGAAGCACTCCTTTACCTCGCTAAGCCAGGCAGAAATAATGCTGGTAAAGAGGAAAGGTTGGGCATGAGGCTGGCTAGCAAACCCATCCTGTAAAATAAACACCACTGCTACAGAAACTTCAAGCCTCTAACTTCAAGGTGCCCTATGTTCCACTGGGGAACGTAAAGGAAAAAAAATTCTGACTTCTGCCAATCAGGGAATATATAGCGTGATTGTAACCAGCTGAAGTCATTGGTGAATATTTATCCTTATACCCGACGACTTGTTCGATACTACTGGTCACGACTGCCGACTGTAAACAACTGGAGTCAGCCGCATCCTATAGTCAGTCAGTGGTATGCTTTGGATTCATTGGTTGGAGGTTCTCACCATGAGCTAACATCGGTGTGGGAGCATCCACACCACGGGGTTCGAACCCAGGACCTTCTGGTTACAAGACGAAGTAGCTCGTAGATCATTAAACCCTTGGGACCCGATCCAATGACCAGCCCTTGAATTCTAACTTCTGCCAATCCACGATATAGCGTGACTGGCACTATCTAATGTCATCGCTGACGAGTATTTTTTTTCTCACACCCGATGACCTGCTATACCCCAGTGTTGCTCACGACTTCCCAGTAGAAGCGAGGTTCCAGTCACTAGTGAGCACCAGATTGCTGTTCAAGTGTTGGTTTGCAGAGATTTTATCATGATCTGACACTGGTTAGCGAATCACTGGAAGACCTGGTAATACTGGAAAGTTGGTTGTTTCATCCAAGGTTGCGGGCTTGAATCTCAGTCGGTGCGTACTGATGAAGAGTCTCAAACGAGGACAGAATAAATGTCTGGAAGTAATCCCAGGTTTTCCAATGATCCTCTAATAGTTATTAGTTCACATAATGAAATCTCATATTTCACTTCCCCCTATATTCACATAAATAATTATTTCTCCCCTCCCCCAAGCACCTACCTTTCCTTCTATCTTCTCCTCTCCCACCTGTTTTTGTCTCGTGCTACTTTTCTTTCCTTTTGCTTTCACCAAGCCTCTTGCTTAACTCCCGCCTCCTTCCTTCACTTTCTGCCACGTTCATTTTGAAGCTAGTTAGTTCATGATAATTAACTAGTGATGGTTGATGGTGTCGCATAATTAATCTTTCAAATTTTTGGAAACCTGCGCCTACCTTCCTTCCTGCCTACTACTCCTACTATGGCCACACTCACACACACACACACACACACGAGGTTCAGTTTCATCCGTTAGTAGGATAATAGAAAAAGATCATAAATAGCAACGTGTAGGAGAAGTTTTTTATCACAATGAGACATAATGACGGTGAATTTTCCGGTTGAAGTAACGCTTTCTCTTAGTGAATTGAAATAATTATAGTAATAATAATAATAATAATGTTAGTGTAATGAGACAGTCAGCTAACGAACCAGCCAGCCTCCGTTTCCTGTGTACTCCTGTCGTCTGTCTATTTTTTTGAAGATATATTTCACATATGCGTGTGTATAGTTGATCGATGGATGGGTAGATCGTCGGTTGGTTGGTTAGTTGGGTTGATTGATTAATTGATTGACTCAATGCAATTCTCCCTCCCCTCCCCTTCTTCTTCTTCTTCTTCTCCTCCTTTCTCTCCTTCATTCCCTTTTCTTCGTTTCATTTCCGTCGAATTTTAATCATCCTTTTTGCTTGGCTAAGTTTTTTTTTGTTTCTCTTGTGATTAAAATTTCCCTTTTTCCATCACAGAAGTTAGTTGTACTATAACCGTCTGTGGTGATTGACATATTCAGAGAGTGAGTTTATCTCAAAACTCTATTCTAGATAGACTGTATTTGTTAGCTGATTGAAGGTAAACGCTAGGAAGCTTTGTTTAACCTTGGTTTCGTGCTTTTTGGCTACTCATCAGTCATAAAGGCGTACGTACCCTCGGTCTTGAGGGGACTCCTGCTCTTTCTGAGGTTTGAACCCCAGGTCAGCCATTAATGCATTCAGAAACATTACCACTGAGTTATTCAGTGGTATTGCTATTGATCTCTTGTAGGGCAGTAATGAATATGTTTGATTGGACAATAAGCAGTCCTTCGTTTGGTGTAGACTGATGAGCTGAAAACAGGTACGAAACCTATGTTCAAGGCTTTATGTCAATTGCCTCTAATCATCATCTAATAATAGCGAGCTATCTAGCATGTTGTGGCCACAGGTGTAAACTTGACTGACTGATAGAATTCAGTCTACACCGACGCTAAGGACTAAACGCGAGGCGGCATTAGTGATTATCTAGTGTCCAGTCAAAACCTGTAATTAATCACACCGTGTGCAAACCAATACTTGATAATTAATCTGATAATCACTGACTCCTGGATTTGTACACGAAGTTAGGTAAATTCCTCGTGAGAAGTCGTGACCAGCGGCGTCCACCGAGTCAGAAAAGAGGACAGTTACTCGTCGATGAAATCAACTGCCGATTGAACAATATATGTCGTGAAATGGAAGAAGTTGTAATCAACAGGCCATCGAATTGGGTCTGGCTACATTGGCTGAATAGTCTACGAGCATGCTTTGTGACCGGAAAGTCCATGTTTGGGTCTCCCTTAAGTGCATTGTGATGGAGAATCCCAAAATAGGACGAAACACCCAGGCGTCTCATAATCCCTAGCTATTCAACAGTTTTCTCACTGATGTCAGCTTAAGAGCATACTTCTATCTAATCAAAGAGTCTGTTTCTCGCCCATGCTCTTATCTTGTTTGGATAAGGTGTCATTTTCATTTTATTGTTCTGTCTAATCA